TGACTAGTAGAAGCTGTTATTCTCGCCACTCGCTGGGACTTCCAGTCAGTACTTTGGCCTTGTCTGTTAGTATGATACTCTAAGACTTCAACTTCCTTGGCAGATAGCTCTGGTAAATTTTGCTGTTTTCACCCTGGATACAAGTTCAGGTAAGCTTAATGGTATTGGCGTTGTCGTCTCAACATCAATGCTTCTCCTCAAGGTTGAAGTCTGCTTCAGGTGGGTATTGAGGAGGGTTAGGCATATCTGTATACCAGAAGGCACATGCGTCAGGTGCACTACTATAAAATGCATCTACCAGATTGTCAAGGCTTGGCTCTTTTTCAGGAGTAGTGACTGACTGCTTTTTCACTTTAAACAACTGTCTTGTCACGGGGTTTATTGGTTTGGATTTTCCTGAAAAATAAATTATACAACAAGATGTACTAAAATGTTTGAAACAAGTACACAAACTACATTCAGAAGGGTGATAAGAATATAATTAAAAAGGCGGTTAACGCTTTTTTAAAAGATCCCTCTTGTGATGTATAACACTTTTAAAGGCAAAGAGAACCTTTTCTCACAGGCCACATTTTCTCTAGCTAGTCTTTTATTGCTGTTTTGTATTGTTTCCTGTTTGCTTTTTTCTATTAGCCCCATTGTCCCGTATCCACATGTCACAACAGTTTGTGCAAAGAGCCAGACATAAACCAACACACTTATTATTTGCATACCCTTCTTGCTGTGGTGAGGTTTTTTCCATTTCATTTCACTAATCCTTTTTGGCTCCACACCTTTCTTATTTGCCCCATACTTTTTCCAAGCACATTCTTTCGATGTCGGTGAATTCCCAAGTGTCAAACCACTTTTCCAGGCATGCTCCACTTTAAAAAGCACAGCCGCTACGTGATTACAAATGGATCCCAAACTGAAGGAAAAATAAAAAGTCATAACTATACTTCCACAGATACTGTTATATATACATGAAATCAATCTCTTACCCGGCAAAACATGTGCAATAAGCGGCCTCCACTGTGCCATTTATCTTTTTCACGCAAACCCAAATCTTGTGTGGTACGTCGCCTATTCTTTGCGAAGGTGTTGATTGCGACTTCAAGAAGCAAAGTTCGTGAGTGTCTGAAATGGGGTGATAAAAAACTCCCTTCAGCCATTGTGAATCGAAATAGCTAGAGGCCTTTTTTTTTATAATCACTGAGAAGGCGTTTGCCAAGATCGCTCCCTTGTTCGGCCGTTAGGATAAATTCCGCTATTTGCATCTGTAAGATAGGTGGCCACTTTTCAACTCCCTTTTCTTCACTGATCCAATTATCTTTGAGTTCCGTGAACGGATCTGGTAACGGCTTACCATTTACGTTAAGAAGACTTTGGTATTGCTTTTTTTCTGTATTATTTCCTCTTCCGCGGTTCGTTTTACAGGCACAGATAGCTGTTCCGCTTAGAAAGTCAAAGCAGTAAGTTCGTCCTTGGTCCCCGTTGTTTTCAAACCACGAATGCGTAAAAATTTCTTTATTTCCGGGACTTTCCTTCTCCTAAAGTCATCTAATGTCCTCTTCTCTCGAGAGAGGACAAACATCTCGAGAAAAATACACTAGACAAGAAATGATCGATGCCAGATCTCCGAACTTGCTTACAGTTTCCTTATATCAACAAATCATTTTTATCCCGATTCGTTCCCAGTCACACGCAATTTTGAGATTGACCGCTGGAACTCCGAACTCGCTTATATCAATTTTACTTAAAACTACATTTTCACAAATTTCAATCCATAGCCAATTACTGGTAAAAATTTTATGGCGATCGGACAAAAAAAAACACTTTTAAGGCGATTGAAAACTATCGGGAAAGGGAAAAACATTAGCGCCGATGACGTCAGAGCTTTTTGTCTGCATCTCATCCTTTTTTACCTGACCTCACGAGTCCATATTTCCAAGAGCATTATTACTGCCTCAGCCGCAAAAACCCCAATTAGTGTTATATCAGTATCAACGCTACTGGTTTCTTTTTCTTTTTCTTGGGCGGGGTGTGCTGAGTACAACAATTTTTGTTTTCGGAGGGACTTTTCAAGATCAACATGTTAGTGGCTTGTGTTTTACTTTCGGTTTCCTCGTTTAAGGTGGCTCGACTGGATTTTTTGGGGTTGATACCTCCCAAGTTTGAGCATTAAATACGTCGGCATAAGTAAAGATATGGAAAAAAGGTTACTACAAATGTATTATATAAAGATGAAAATTTCTTATGATCTGTTTTTTATTACAATTGGGGTCGCCATGGCAACGTAATGACACCATAACGTTATTCATTTATCTTTGTGTTTCTCTGTACCAGGAGTTTTTTGAAGAAATCGCTTAAAAGAGTATGTACCTGCCATAATTGCCTCCATTATGGCAAAGTTTGAAGAAATTCTATGAGAGCGTTTTCGAAATATTTTGAAATGCAGTTTTAAGAACCATCAAAGCAGTGAAATAGCATGCTAGCCGCAAAATTCGCTAATATTTTAAGAAAATGATAATCTTTGGAATCGCAGCTTCATCTCATAGTGGTTTGATTCCATTGAAAACTGCATACAAAAAAAAGAGGGGAATTGCTCTGGGCGATCGCGAGTAAGAAGAATTTTATTAACTT